TCTTTGTTAATTTTCACGAAATTGTCATGAGAGCCAATCCTTGACCAGTACACACACACACACACACACACACACACACACACACAAACACACACACATACTCACACACACACATACACACACACATACATGCGCACACACATACATACACACACACACACACACACACACAAGCACACACTCGAATTTAGAGTTTAAGGATAAGCTAGTATTTTCGAGTTAGAAGTATAATTCTAAAATGTAGAATTGTAATATTCTAAAATTTAACTATAAAAAGAGTCATATAGTGTAGAATCTGACTGGTGCTGACCAGCATTGTACAATCGAGATTCCCATATACTTACTTTTGTCGCTTTGAAATGATGCCCCTGTGAATTCTCAATGGTGCACTCGCTTAAAAAGCAACATTTAACTGTTTATCTTCGGTACGGGTTGTACCACAGTAAAAGGAGTCATTGCACGCTCGCAAGCCAACAACTATCGGTTTGATCTATCGGGAGCAACTTCAGAATACCCGTCCACCTCATTTACATGTGTCGGGAGGCTTTGAAGAACGAGGCGTAACACAATAGACGCTCTTCTTATTTAATAACATGTAAATGAGTGACGTGGTTTTGTTCGAATGTTTTCGACAAATTTAACTCGGTAAAATTCAATCGATCTTTGGACTTTTGTGTGTGATTTTCTTCGCCCTCAGAAACATTTTTTTGCAGTTTCATGCTTATTGTAAATTACGCCTGCCATGTTTGATTTTAACGATTGCATGCTTATCTGAAATGCTTGTTTGTGCGGCGTAATTCCCTTAAGGTCGTAAAAACGTGTTTCACACAAGATGTAATTCGCCTAAACTGAAAGTCAACTCAATGTACCGTAAAATCCTCTTCGCTTACCTTCAAGGGCTGACTCAGTGAGACTCTCACTCACATGCCCACCTGCACAATGCTTCGTGCTCCTCAGGAACTAGTAACATTTTCACCCAGTTCTAAGCCGCCTGAAACATGCGTATTTAGCTCAGTAAGAATTCAATGTATCGTCAATTATCGAAATAGAAAGAAAATCAATTGAGATAAAGGTTTGTTCAGTCGTGTCCTAAAATGAACTCACATATACAAGCGGATTTCGTCGCTAAATGACGCAGACAATTATTTTCAAGGAGGGGCATTCAGGAAGCTCACATTTTCATTTTCGAAACAGTTACCTTTGGCTCTACGCTATCGATAGTTTCCGCAGAATCTGAAGGCTTGTATGGAGATTATTTCGAATTGTGT